TGGGGCATAGGAGGTGGGTTGAAAAGGCGGGAAGGGATATCGTTAGGATAGACAGACTAGGGAAGACATTTTTGAGCCACGTTTGGCAAAGTAGAAAGGAACGATTGACCATCGGTGATCGGTCCTGTGGGAACAATGCTCCGTCCTCTCGAGGACGCGTGGTCAATGGTCTAACCGCTAAGACATGCAAAACATAAGAGTGCGCCCCCCCCCCTCCCCCCGTCCAGGACCTCCTGAACGTGATCGAGTCTACCAAGCTTCTCAAGGAGGCCCAAGCGAAGGAGGACTCCCCCGAGGCTAAGGCTAGCCTGCCCACGCTGGCAGTTTCGGACCTGGAGCGCGAGATCAAGAGCATCCCCATCGCCGTAGACAGCGTGCAGGGCGTCGACGTGATCATGCACGACCTCCCCAGCAGCGGTGAACTTTCGAAGGCTCTTTTCTCTTTTCAAGTGTTGTGGGGTGTGTGGGGGCGGTGTGCTGTATTGTGGTGGTGGCATGTGGGCATGTCGGGGAAGGTAGACTGGACAAGACACCTTTTTTTTTTTGGGTTGCTCGTGATGTGTGACGAGGACGCAAATTTAATCTTGTCACATATTCGTCAACAGTGCTCCAAAGGAACTTTTTGGTTTTTCTAATTACGCTGACTCCGTGGTGAGGCTTGTCATGTCGTCCGTCTTCCGTTATTTGCTCCATTCGGAAGTCTTTTCGTTGCTTTCGCCGTCTGTTCGGCAGACGATGTCTTGCCCTGCATTACCCCTCCGACTGCACCCTCATCAAGTAACCTCCCCCCCCCCTACACCACCGCCAGGCATCCTGTACGCCGACGTCGGAGTAGACCTGAGCAACATCCCTCTCGAAGACATGCCCATCCTGGGGATATTCTCCCGCGTCATGATGGAGACCGGCACCTCGAAGATGGACCGCGTGCAGCTTTCCCGCCGCATCGGCAGCCAGACGGGAGGCATCTACGCGACCTTCCTGGCCGACCAGCCCTCCGCCGGCGGCGCGGTGGCTGACCCCGGGGCACTGAAGCAGTACCTGTTCCTCCGCGGAAAGGTAGGGGGGGGGGGGGGGGGGGGGGGGGNGGGGGGGGGGGGGGGGGGGGGGGGGGGGGGGGGGGGAGGTTGGCGGTAGTCATGTACCCGCACGCCGTTGAAGTCGTTAGACCATTGGCCTCTCATCCCACGATGCGAGAACGGAACGAGAAAGGTAGGGGGAGTTCTTCTATGTTCTTTTCATCGACTGCGCTATCCGACTGACCAATGATAGAGGCCGAAGAGTAGAAAAAGCTTCTAGAAGGCCATGGTCTGGGAAACCCGTGATATCGTGTTCATGGGGAAGGCCAGGGTATTTTCGGGACCGGAGGCAAACACGGTAGCAGATGAACTCGTGGTGCAGCGTCTGCGCTTGTCTGATTTCTCCTGGGCGGATTCACGGACGCCGCTAGTGATCTGCTCGTCTGGACAATCCCAAGTACTGCTGTCATCGGGATGTCAACACGAGGTGTAGTCTAGCTGGAACGGTGGGTGGAAGAAATGCCGGGGGCACGAATACGAAAGGTGTTGTAGCGTAGCACCTATTATCCTGCTGACGAGGGCCGTGTTCTTTGTTGGTGGTGGACCTGTCGACTGCTGCACGCTCTCCTTTGTCCAACCACGTCCGACCCAACCCATAACAACAACCAATCCGACCCATTCGAATTCGAATTGGAACACGGAATCAGGCCGTCGCGGACAAGGTACCCGACATGCTCTCCATCATGTTCGACGTGATGACGGACGCTAACCTTGACAGTCAGCAGAGAGTCGTGGAGATGCTCAAGGAGTCTAAGGTACCTGTGCACGATGATTGCATCATGATGAGATGGCGGTTCGCAGGTGTAGTTCAGAGTAGGCGCAAATGCCCCAAGTTGACGCGTGTTCAAGGCCGGTTTGGCGATACAATCCCCGCAGAAGAGCAGGAGGGATGATTTTCTGGTTCTTTGAAGTAGGAGCTTCCGATACCGATCCACGCAAGACTCTTGTGGTACATGACTACATGTGATTTTGCTTGCAATAGTTGTTTATGGCGTGCTTGTTTTGAAGTATTTTTGAAGTGTTGTTGAAATTTCTTCCATTTCCGGTTGCGTGTAGGTGTAAGTGCCTACAATATAGGGGTGTTGCTTGACACTCCTTTTTTGCGCCTGTGTGTGTCACTACAGCATATTGCTCGCATGTGGGCCCCAGCTCCGGTGTGTTGCTTCCTATCTTTTTTTTTTTATGGTGTCATGTTGCCCTGTATCCCCATGTGTGAGATTTGCTTGTAATGATCGCCCTTTCCCCCCCCCTGCGTGTTGCTGCTGACTACTTTGTGCGTCACCTTTGTGCGTCACCACGGCTCTCCTCTATGCCTCCATTTAATGTGTGACTGTTGTGTGACTCTCGTATACCTGCTGTGTGACTGTGACTGCCTTCTCTCTCTCTCGCTCGCTGTTGTGTTTGCTTGCTTTTTTTCGTTTTTATTCCGAGGGCAGGCCCGTCTTGCGTCGTCGATCCAGGGATCTGGACACTCGTTCGCGAACACACGCCTCGAGGCCAGGTGACGATGATGACGTGACGGATTCAATAGCAATACTTGTCTTCGACGTATGGTTTTTTGAGGCGCGTTTGATGACGCAGCCTCAGCAAAGAGCCAACCACGCCGAGCAAGAAAGCAAAGTCCCCGTCAATCTACAATCGCGTCCCCCCCTTGCCCATCGACATTTACCATTATCGCATAGGCACGGGACTGACTTGCTTTCAAGCAGGTTTACTGTCATCGCGAACCACGCTTACCTGAACGGTTTCCTAAGGCGAGCAGTGGGGTACATAACATGCACCCCGCTCTTCAAGACCACTTTTTTTTCAGAACTTTGACCCCCCCACTCGTCTCTTGGCTGTTGCACCAAAAAAAGATACACCGTGGACGGGTACCTGGGCGAGCTCCAGGGGGGAGTGACGTACGTGAACACGGTCAAGGACATGCTGGACGAGGCCGAAAACGACTGGCCCAAGATGCTCAAGCGCCTCCAGCGCGTCCGCGCCACCCTCCTGTCCAAGAAGCAGTTCCTGGTTAACCTTACGGGGGACAAGGTAGGTCTGGGGTGGGCAGGTGGGGGGGGGG